TTATAATAAACTCATATTGTCTCCAGTAAGCCTTTATCTGATCACATAACCAAAGCATTAGGGATCTAAATCTGGACTTACCTTGTTAACGTTGTATTCACTGATCTGGTGAATATAGTTACAGGATGGGGCCCTTAAATCACTATTTTACATCTTCCTATTTCCAATCATACTGCAACATCCGATATCTTGTTTCAGACACCGATATTGTGGCACCTAGGGACGTGGTTTAGTGGTGAACACAGTGGTGCTGGGTTAGTGGTTGGTCTCAATGATCCTAGAGGATTTTCCAACTTTAGAGATTACATGAAAAAAGAAATCGTGGTGGAAATGAACATTGCTTGCTGGAAGACCCTCCCTAATCTCAATATAATGTGCTTCTTTTTACTTACTTAATATCATGTCTCAAAAACCTTCAGTTCCAGTGGTCTGATTATCTCATCATCCTGCCTTCGCTTCCCTTTTCCTCTGAACAATACCATACATTTTCATAATAATTATACTTTGATTTTCTATGCACCCATTCTTTCACTTGAGAGTCTGAAAGGGCCTTAAGTGCTATTGAACTGATCTTCAAAACACCTATTCCATTATCCTCCTCATCCTCCTTCCGCAGGTAGGTGACAATAGCAGCAAGTAGCCAGTGACCTGCCAAAGGTAACAAAGAGAGTAGAGGCAGAGGTGGAAGCAGATGTGAGTTGGAACTGGGTAAGACTGCCCTCACATTAGCCCCCACTCATCCTCCGGTTGATAATACAGGATAGAGCAGCTGTTTCTCAGCTTCTGGATACTGGGAATGAACTGTCATCTGCCAAGGTGCCATCCACTGCTTTCAGCCCCCTCTGTGTGTAGACGTCCTCCTGAAAAAAGCAAGATAATTTACCAGACAGACAGCAGTTGTCAGTGTTGTTGAAAGCATATATGGATATGGTTTTTTGCATTAACAAAATACACCTATCCATAAAGCCATGCTGTTTGACTGTGAGCAGGTAAGGGGACAGGAAAAGTTACCAAGTGCTGGGATAAAGGGGATTAAGCAGAAAGTGACCTGGATTTGTGTAAGTCTTCGGGAGGGCAGACAAAAGAAACAGGGCTGGGAAAACATGCTCCAAATTGCTGCTGCTGGGTGAGTCTCTTTTGTATTGGTGCTCAGGGGCACATACCTCTATTGTTACACGCAGAATAACCACCTCTCCAGCCTCTACAAATCACATACAAATGTATACCTTGTACATAAGGGCCCACCGTTTAAATTTACATCTTATTTTTGGCTTTGTTTTTCGAAACTGACTGTTCCTGTAAAAATTTCCTGTAAAAAATCTGTCTCCTAAGTGTGATTTAGTTTGAGTCCTGGGTTTGTCATTCCTCAGGTGTTGCAGTCCCACCATTGCTCCGGATAATGCAGAGTAATTGCTGGATGAAATGAATTCTGACATACCTTCCCCAACTCCAGCAGTTACACCAGAGGTAAGTTTGGCCCCTGGATTCCATTGTTATGTTAAGGAGTTGTCAGTGCCCTGCACAGATTAGGGGACCTCACACTGATGAGCTGCTGAAACTAGAGTGTGTTATTTCACAGTGTTATTAAATAAATCATTCAAATTTCAGTGACAGATTGTTCCCATTCTCTTGTCTTCCTGACTGCCTTTGATTCTTGCTGTATTATTTACCTGGTAAAAACGCTGTACAATGACTGGAGCTGGGGACTGGAAGTGGTTTGGGTAACCCTACCCCTTTCCTGCCTGAAATGTTCCAGCGTGGTGTAATTGTCTTGTAGGTAAGTACTTCCGTGAAACAAGTGGAGGAACAGCCCCTTGTGCTAGGGTAAATTTGGTCAAGTGGGTCACTGTATTTGGGAGTTGTAGGCTAGCAGTAAGAAATTCCAAGGTGAGTATTAGGGGGGGAAAGAGTACTGAGACTGTAAAAACCCCTATAATTTAACAGCTGATATGAATTTTGAGGGTCTGTTAAATTTCTGGACTATATAATGCAAAAGAATGAAAAAGAGTCCTTGGTCTTGTCCAAATAAGGATGAATAAACGCATGAGTGTCATACATAAACTTATGTTACTTAGCAGAGAATTTGAGTCTAGTATAGAGATGACATTTTATCTCATGCTCACCTGCCCATTTTAAGCAGCAGGTCCTTCCTGTGCTTTACAGAAAACTCCTGTCATTAACAAATGGGAGAAAGAGGTGTATTAAAAACGTTAAGTTCGAGGTCATGATCTTATGTTGGCGAGGACAATAAAACACAGGGTTTTTGCATTAGGAACATTGGAGAGCAATCAAATGTTAAAAGTTCTTCAGGGAGGAGAGGCCTGAAGGAGAACTGAGTATCCTATGTTTTAGGTTGCTGTGTTTCTGCATCCATTTAGCTCACATTTTAAAAAGTGGTTTTGAAGTGGTCACAGAGAGAGCATTACCAGGCTATGCACCTGTACTTCAGAGATACTTAACATCAAATTTTTTCTAAGTAAACTTGTACATTTCTTACAGAAGCCCCTCTAATCTGCTGTTCATAAACTCACACTAGTGCTACAGGCATACTTTCTGATAGCACAAAGAATTTAATTTCAGTGTTGTAGGTCCAGGTCCATAGCCCAGTGGGTGTTTTTTAGGGTACACAAGCCCAGAGCCACACGGCAACCTCCCCTGGCCCCAGCAGCTCCCTCAGACACCCACCCCCCCCAATAACCCCTCCTATAGCCTCCACAGACTCCACAAATCCATGATAACAGCCCTATAGCCCTTGCAACCCTCCCAAAGCACCCTCCAATCAATAACCCCCCCTTTAACCACCCAAACCACTCCCGAGCCCCCTCAGATGCCCAAAGCCATGATAATTTCCTATTATCCCCTACAGCCCCCCCATAAACCCACCAATAAAACCCCATAATCCCCTGGACCCCCCTAATCTATAATAACACCCCAGAAGTCCCCCAGACTCCCCTGTACTCCCCAACCCCCCTAAAAATCCATGATAACTCCTATAGACCTCCTAGACCCCCTTAATCCCTCATAGCCCCTCTATAGCCCCCCACAGACCCTCCCAGATCTCCTTAAATCCATAAACCCCCAAAGTCCCCTATAGCCTCCTCCACACTCCTGCAAACCCCTCCCAAATCAGTGACCCCAGAGACCTCCCAGAACCCCCTGTGCACTCCATCTCCCCTCAGACACCCCCAAAACTCCTTTGGAGCCCCCACCAGACCCCCCACAGCCCCTCAATCTTTAAGAACACCCCAGAACCCCCGCAAAACTCCTCTGCACCTCTCAGACCCTCTCAGACCCCCCCAAACTCATAACCCTCCTATAGCCCCCACCAAGCCCCCCATAACACCCTCCACACCCACCCAGACCCATGAAACCCCCCTTTCAATTCCCACAGACACATCTAACACACCCCCAGACCCCCCTAAATCCATGATAACCCCTCTCACAGCTTTCACCCAGCTGACACCAGGAGTTATTTTCACAGCTCTGGGGTATCTTCAGCATGCCAAAAGCAGGCTGTAGTTGTGCTGCTCCACTGCCAGGTATGGAACTGGTATTGCCTCCTGGGACCTAAGCAGTTAGAGAAGGATCTCATGGTCTTCAATAAGGGTAATTAGTTGTTACGGAAATGAGAGGGAGCGATTACACTCCAAGTGTAACACCTGTACTGGGAAGGTCTCACTCTGAACTTAAGCACCAAGGCTCACTACTTTGGTGTCACAGCCAAGGGGAAAACAGGGTTTTACAAAGGAAAATGAAACCAAATTTTATCTCCTGGAAAGACACCTATGATCATCCCCAGAAATCCTGAGATCAAACACACAGATCCCATCCATCCCTAGTGTGCAGGATGCTGTGTGCACACAGTGCTGTGGCAGCAATAACATGTGTTAAGTCAAACTTGCTGGGACACAGCCTGCACTACATATACTATAAATAAATACTATTAAAAAAACTATACATTAATACTTTTTAACAGGCACGCTTCTCGTGGTGGTGTTGGCTGTGTGTCAAGTGTTCAGAGGGGGATCCAATGCAGGAAAAGTGTTTGGTATGGATAGGAGAACAGCCCTGAAGGGATTATTTCAATTGGTGTGTGTTAGAGCAACCACAAGGGGAAGTTTGTCAATTCTTTAGCAGCTTCATGTTGGTCAGAAATTTACTCCAAATTTACAGGATCTGAGTAGGTGTCAGACTTGTGTTACAACTTCTACCAGATTAATTAAAGAAAGTGTTTGTTTAGTGTTTTATGCGTTTTGTGGAATTTACATTCTTGTTGCTATTCATTTGTTCAAAAGTATTTGCCTTGTAATGAGGAATTCACTTATAATTTTGGCAGTAATAATCAGTAACATTAAGTGTTGTCCGCTAGGGCTTATGTTACTTCTTGCTTGGCTTCTGGATGGTTTCTGTGGTTGAATTACTTCATTTTACAACATTGCCAACATCAATCTGTCATTTTCATCAAAAAATTCCCTCTCACTCTTCAATTGGATCAGTCTCCTCAAGTAGCAGAATTCTGCAGACCTGTACCAGATGAGTAATTTACCCTGGATCTTTGCATCAGGCTTTATTTATATCATTTGATTAAAATTAATTCTAGATCTGATCTACCTACAAAAATATTTCACACACTGTACTTCAGATTGGTTTCTGACTTGTCTGATTGTAGCAAACTGGACAGGTAGTGTAGGTTTGCTGGTTTAATAAGGGTTTACTCGTTTAATAAAACGAAAGTAACTCATTTATTACAATTATATGTATTTACTATAGAGTCTGTTTCAAGTTGAGTTTGATATGTTTTGGGCTAATAGGAGACAAGAAAATTAAGGAAAACAAGAAAGGAATATGAATTAATGGTAACAGAGAATGCAAAACACAAGAAAAAATGACCCAGATCCTGAAAGAATTAATAAACTTTTTTAATAAAAGAAATAAGTAGGGAAAACTGCTAAAAACAGAAGGTGGCAACAACTGCTGCATAGTGGCAGTACTTCCTTCAGTGTTGGCTGGAAGCGTTTGCTGCTGGAGTGGAAAACCCTCATGAAAAATAAATGCTGTTTGTGTACCTCTCAGTTTATTTCCTTTTGAACTTTCTCTCAGCACCGTCACAGGGCCCAAGAGCACAAACGGTTGAAGTCACAGACCATGTGTCAACAAAATTCACCTCCATTCACTGGCTGAGCAGTCACCACAGCCTCCTTTTCTGCCAGCAAAAGGAAAAATAACACTCCCTGTGTACTTCATAGGATGTGGCGGTACTACAGCGATTACAGTAAAATAGGGTTTGTTAGCAACTTGGAAAGAGAACTCTCCACTCACCAAGTTCTGTCAGGGGTTAGAATTTCAACTCCCTGAACAAACAAAACAGGAGAATGCACAGTATCTTACGTTTAACTCTTATTACATATTAGTATAGCAAATGAAGGAGCTCAGTGTTACAGCACAAGTGAATGGGTTTGAACATGCTGTCCAACAGCCTCACAAGGCGTTTTCATCAGCATTTTGCTTTGGTTACCCCATTATTTCTGATTTGGCCCACCTGGCAATATTATTTTATCATAAAACTTTGCAACCCAAGTCTGTCAGGAACATTATTGTAGATTATTGTATCTTTTTGTCTAGCAACAGCGCTCAGCATAAGAAATTAAGAGTAATCAAAGAAAAAAATGTAAGAAACAGCATTAGGATTACTGTGAATGGCTCAGGAGAGGAGCCACACTGAGGGGGATTTGTGGAATTGGATGTACAGAGCTGTAATGTCACCATTTTCCTTTGGAGAGTAGAGTGCTGCTTGAACTGCCTGGCTGATCAATGGGCTTGGAATGAAGCTGTGTTTCCTGGGACAAAAGAGCAGGATGAAGAGATGAAAAAGACCTTTCAGAGATCATTCAGTCTGGCATTCAGTCTGGCTGATAAAGGATTATTCTCCATGATCTTTATTTAGTCTAGTTCTAAAATTCCAAATCAACAAAGTTCCTGTATGTAGTTTAATTTCAAAAATTATAATTTTTCTAACATAATTTTTGACAAAATTTTGATACTTGTATCAATGATTTTGGTAATTTATCACCATCAATCAATAACAATGTATAAAAAATACACATTCTAAATGCGTAATAATATGTTTAGAAGAAAATAAAATGGTCTGATAACCTTTTATTCATTTAAGTACATAAACATCTAATAGTGACAAGAGGACCAGGACTGTTCATGCTCCTGTATGGCAGAGATGTATTCCAGAAATGGAAACTGGATGCATTTATTCAGGTAAAAGGAGGAAGAGAAAGGGGAGAAACCCCCATTTTGGAACTTCTTATCCAGTAATTTTAGTACCGCAGCAAATGCATTTCCCTTGATAAAGAGGCACTCACTGCAACCAACTGCAGTGCCCTGACAATGGGACGGGAGATGACCAAGCTAATACCAGGTGCTGCAAGAACATACCGTGAATCCCATCAGCCTGGTTTTTTTCAGCCATGGCAACTCCTTTGCCAACTCAGATGCAACACCAGGGCCCCATCAGCCACTTTTTATATGAACCGTGTCTCAAACCCAGCAATTCTTCCCTAAGAAAATCCACAGAGACAGTAACAAAGCTAAAATTAGAAATCAGGAGCTATAGCTTCCAAGGCAATGCACAATACGTGACGTTTTTTCAATACCACAGGCATTTTCTGCTAGCAAAAAAATGGCTTAGAGACTACACTCCACAGTGAAGAAATTCTCCCTCAAAGCTCAGGGCTGGGTGACAACACGATGTTTTACTCACAAATTTCAAAACACCAACATTTAAAAGAAACAGTGAAGAACGAGACAAATAATTAATTCTGATGATTAAAAAATAGCTATAGCATCACACCCTGTAGTTATAATGCCATCACCCAATCTATGCAGCTGCTTTTAAGATGATATGTGCAGTCAAAAACTAACTATGTGGGCATATCATGCAATTAATAATTCTCCAGAATAACGTAACGAAGCAAAACTCTGCTTATTTATACCTAATGTTAAAAACTGCAAACTTAGATGGAACATTTAATTGATTGTGAGCAGTGAAAAACATTTTTAAATATGAATTAAGGTACATATTTGAAAAACTTGTATGCTAACAGGAATTTTAAGAACAAAGAGAAATGGTTTATTTCGGGAATATGCCAGGAAAAAACCCACCAAACCTTGGGCCCTCATGAGGTCTCCAACCCAGTAAATCACAAGGAAATTAGGAAGGGCACGGTTGGAGAATGTCACATCACAACCCACCACTTGCATATGGAGGCTCTCCCTGAGCAGTGTGGTCTCCACGATGATGGGACAGCTTTGGTATACTGTTAACACAACAGTCACGAAACCATTTAAAAGGGCAGTTTAGAGCTAAATAGGTCAAACAAACACTTTACATCTATCCCAACATAGTGCACCCTGCACCCACTGCAGTTTGGAAAGCTTAGTCATGCCAGACAAGACCATAGCAATGAAAAATGTATTGTTTTAATAGACTCATAGATTTAAAAACAATTCTCCCAGCTTTGGGTAGCAAACCAACTTTGGCACACCTACCAAACTCTCAGATCTACAGGCAGTTATAGACACAATGATCTGGGTAGTGGAAGGAACACTGAAATACATATTGGGCACCTTCTGGAAATGGCTGAGGGAGGAGCATGAGATGAGACAGTGCTCAAATGACCCCCTGGCCATTTTATCTCCCCACTTCCCCCTCCTCAAAAGTAAGATTTATATATTTATCCTATATGGAGAGGAAGGTAACTAAGCCTGTGAAAGTGATCAATGTTTAGATTAACCCTGGCATTGCTGAGCTCTTGGAGGAAGAACAGCCTGGGCTGGGCTGAGCTAGGCTCACATTTTTTGGGGGACAGGAGGAGGCTGACAGCACAGCTAGGCGACAGGGAGGGCTTTGTCCAGGGGCTGCCCCTCTCAATGCCTTACACTGGGAGCAATTGGGCCGGAGCAGGCAGGTCTCTCACTCCCCTCATGACCTTCATCCTCCTCAGCCCCTGCCATCCCCTCATCCCTGCATCCCCCCTCATCCCTTCAGACTCCTAATCCCCTGTAACTCCCTCATTCCCACAGACCCCTCATAATCCCCCGTATCCTGCTTATCCCCCTCATCCCGGCTTCCCCCTCGTACTGCCTCCCCCTCCACCCCCTGCAGCCCCTCACAGTCCCTGAGCCGCTCATCCCCTTGATTCCCCACATCCCCCTCAGGTCCTTCATCCCCCTCATTTCTGCATCCCCTTCAGTACCCTCATCCCCCCCCACGACCTTCACACCCTGCCACCCCTCCTCATCCCTCTCACTCCCCAACCCCGTCATCCCTTTACTCCCATAATCCCTCGTAGCTCCCTCAGTCCCACAGCCCCCTCATTCCCGCATCCCCCTTATGCCCTGCAATCCCCTCATCCCTCGCCGTCCCCTCAAGTCCCGCAGCCCCTCATATCCCCCACCCCTTCATACCCCTCATCCCTCTCAACACCCGCCGCCCTCGTATCCCCCTCAGCCCCTTATCCTTCTCTGCCTCCCTTATCCCACTCAAACCACCAGCCCCTCCCTCGCCCAGACCGCCGCATCGCTCCCGCTCCCTCATTCCCCTCATCCCCCCCACTCCCGATTTCCCGTCCCCCACATGCCTGCTCTGCGCACGCGCAGCCTCCTCCCCTCCCCCCTCGCCCGCCGCGGGACCGCGCATGCGCGCAGGCGGGGCCGGGGCCGGCGGGAGAGGGAGGGGAAGGAGGAGGAGGAGGAGGGGCAGGAGCAGGAGCAGGGGGAGCGGAGGGTTTGTGGAGGCGGCAAGGCGTGGGTCGTCCCTCCCCCTCCAGCCACCTCCTGCTGCCTCTCCCGCTCTGCCCCCTCTCCTTCCCGTGCCCCCCCGTGCCCCCCCGTCCGCGGGGCCGCGAAGGCCGAGGAGAAGGAGGAAGATCCTGTCCGGTGCTGGCCTGGCCTCCAGCGGCTGGCGAGGCCCGTGACCGAGCGGCACGGACACGCTCCGGTCTGCCCGTGGCTCTTTCACGGAATCCCAGGATATTTGGGATTGGAAGGAAACTCTGGAGATCGTCAAGTCCAACCGCAGGCCAGTCAGGGTCATCTGGAGCAGGTGACACAGGGACGTGTCCAGGTGGGTCTGGGATGTTTCCAGACAAGGAGATTCCACACCCTCCCTGGGCAGCTGTTCCAGGCGCTGCCACCTCCATGGAAAGAAGTTCCGCCTCAGGTTGAGGGGGAACTTGATGTGTTTGAGTTTATGGCCTTTGCTCCTTGTTCTGTCACTGGGCAGCACTGAACAGAGTCTGGGGCCATCCTCTGACATTCCTTGGGGATATTTGTGTGGATTGATGGGATGCCCTCTCAGTCTTCTCCTCTCCAGACTAACCAGGCCCAGCCCCTGCAGTGTCTGTTCATCAGAGAGATGCTCCAGACTCCTCATCATCTCTATGGCCTCTGCTGGACCTTCTCCAGTATCTCCTGGTCTTTGCTGAACTGTTCCTTTGGGATGGTCTGAGAAAGGGTGGCGTACTGTGCTGCAGAAGTGTGTTACACAGGTATGCTGGTGTTTAGGAGGGACAGTGGGATCCTGGGGTGCATCAGGAAGAGCATGGCCAGCAGATCAGGAAGGGGATCCTTCCCATCTGCTCGGCCACAGTGGGACCACATCTGGGAACAGTGTGTCTAGTTCCTCAGGACAAGAAAGACCAGGAGCTGCTGGAGAGCATCCAGCAGAGGCCACAGAGATGGTGAGTGGTCTGGAGCATCTGTGAATGCCCTGTTCCTGGAAGTGTTCAAGGCCAGGTTGGACAGGGCTTGGAGCAGTCTGGGGTAGTGGAAGGTGTCCCTGTCCATGGCAGTGTGTGGGACTGGATGAGCTTTAAAATCCCTCCCAACCCAAACCATTCTGTCATTCCATGATTTGTATGTGGTGCTGCAGTGCTGCCTGATGTCTGTAAACACCATAAACCAGCTCTATTTATGACACATCCTCATTGAAATGGGGAATGAGGAAAGTAAAAATGACCACATTCTCTGAGAAAGTTTTTAAGATGTTGTGAGGGATCCATTTGAGGGGTAGGGAAACTTTTGAAGCCACATTTTTGGAACAGTGGGAGCTGTACTGGTGGCGTGACCTGGAACTGCTTCAACTGGACTCTGATGGCCATCCTGTAGTCTGGACTTGTTAAGTTGTTGTTTCCCTAAGGAGAAGGTGGTAGGCCTATGGAAGTAGCCCAGAGGTAGATTCAGGTTCCTGATTGTCTCTTGAACTGCACTGCTAAGGAAATACAAGTTAAAATTGCAGCTCTGGGCTCCCCAGTGCAGGAAAAACACCACCATACTGGACCCCAAAGCTGATTAAGGGTGTGTGACATACAAGGCAAGGTTGGGAGAGGTGAAACTCGTCAACTGGGAGGAGAGAGAGATCAGTGAGGTCATATTAGTGAATACATGATGGGAGGGAATAAAGATGATGGGGGCAGACTTATTTTTCAGTACCACGGAGCAGCAGCACAAGAGGCGATGAGCACAAACTGACAGATAAATGTTTTCAGTCAAATGGAAGAAAAAAGATTTACTGCTATGGTAATTAAGCACTGGAACAGGTTCCCTAGAGATGTTTTGGCATCTCCATTCTTGGAGATAATCAAAAGTCAAACAGAAACAATCCCAAGCAAACTGCTGTAGTTGACACTGCTGTGAGCAGGGGGAATGGACTAGACAACCTCCAAAGGTCTCTTTCACCCTCAGCTGTTCTGCATAGCCATGATTCCTTCATGTGCTTGAAGAAATGTCTTTGTTTTACTTAAAGCAATACATTTTCTTTGCCCGCGCGTTGTTGTTTTACTGTTCTGTTGCTATAAATTGAAAATTTTTAGTGTTTTTTTTTTTTGTCTGCCAGTGCTAACATTCAGTTTGCTCTGCAGATACCCTGTAGCATGGGAGGTGAAGAAGACTTCTTTTTGGAGGAAAAAAGATTCAAGCAGCACTGTGAAGAATTTGTTAAGCATTCACAGCAGATAGGAGATGGCTGGGAGTGGAGAACTAGCAAGGTAAAACAATCATGGAATTAATTTTTAGGTACCCTTGATGGCCTTTTTGAGCTGTTGACAACCAGCACAAGCTGGAACATCCTTTAGGAACATGTGAAATAAATGGCATTTTTTGGACAGCTGGTCCGAGACCAAAATAGTGCATAGGTGGTTGACACAAGAGTTTAGGCCAGTGCATGTACTGAATAGGGTTGTAGGTCTCTGAGTCCTGTCTAGGATACAAGAATCTCATTTTCAACTGTGGGCAGAACTAGACAAGGAATGTGGTATCACTGTGAAATTCAAATGTTCCTACTCTGGGGAACTCCCTGTGGTTTTATATCCAAGGTTCACTTCAACCCTTTAACCTCAATTAGCACATAGTCTTTGTTCTAGATCTGTGGCTTAATATTTTTTGTAAAAATTGCTGTCAGTTGCATACAGCAACCAGAAGAATCTGTCAGTGTCAGTGTTCAATTCTCATTATTTGCTGCTTCCCCGTAATTTTCAAACCTCTCCAATAATAATTACATATTGTTTCTAGGTCATTAATAAAAATTTTAAATAGCAGAGGGCTAAGAGTAGTCCCACAGGATCCCATTAGAATCACTTCTCTTATGATGATTTCCCCATTTTTAAAGTTACATTTGAGATCTGTGAATTAATAATTTTTTTATCCTTTAGTATGTTTCAGGTCAGTGTGGGATTATTTTATTTTTTTTAATTTCCACTCATGCAGTCAACAGATATCTTTCGGAATTCTGAGCATGTAGTTTTCCAACTTGTATGTTTATCAATCAAACATGTATTTTTAAGTTACCCTGACAAATTCTGTTTTCTTTAAAAAATTACATTTACTGCATGTTTCTCTTTATTTACTGAATTCCGTATGACTTCTGTTATTTTTGCTTGGGATGAGGTCAAACTAATGTGAATAGTTACACAACTAGGTGAATAGTTACACGAATTAGCCAGTATGTAATATGTATTATAGTGTATAAAGGTGTACTGATACAGTATATAAAGATGTATTGATACATGCTGGCTGTCTCCAGCATCTAGGTTTGTCTGTGTATTCTATTGCGGAAAAATTACTGCTCTACCTTTTTTTTTTTTTTTTTTTAAAGTTTAATGGCTTTAGTGGTTTCCCATGATTTCATGCATTTTGGGGAGAAAAATCATGCTTTTTCCAATGTGTGGCATCATTTCTACATAAGTAATTGTACATTAACAGTTGTAACCCTTGCATCACAGATAATCAGAATTTCAGTAGGAAGCAGGATTTTGGACTTCGTTCTGTTTAGGAGTTTTTAAGAGAGTGCAAATATTAGCCAAGTGTTACAATGCACCTTTTCTTACAGAAAACCATTTGAAACTTTAGATTTCAGTCTAGGGCTATATTTGTGAGGATTTATTCAACAAAGAAAGATGCTCTGAGACTCTGTTGGGAGTTTAATACGTGGGTCAGAGTCTAAAGTTTCTGTGAAATAAGAAGCTTTGCTGGAAATAGCAGAATAAGATAGATTTTTGTTCTTATATGAAAAAATACTAAGAGGATTTTTTTTTTTTTTAAATGGGCCAAGTTGGTGACTCTGTGATTTCAGTGTGTGATAAAAACCTAGCTATGGAGACCATCCATCTATAGTATGTAGCCTGGGAAGAAAGCTTTTCCTCAATAAGATATCTCATTGTCTTTTTGCCCCCCCCCCTTTTTTTTTACCAATGTATGTATTGTGGGTAGTTTGGGACACTCTTAATTTTGCTGATGTAATGCACTTGGATCCCATTCCTCATTCCATGCTCTGTGAATAGACCCATTGATAACAGTAAGACCACACAAGTAAACTAGGCTCATAGAACTGTGTTCCTGTGTTACCGTGTTTTATGTGGAGATTAAATTTAGGTGATGAAATACTCATTGTTTGTGTGGAGCTGGCTCTTGTGGCATAAGCTCACATGGCCCAAGCAGAACCCTGTATTTATAGCTGTAAGTGAAATGTTCTAAATTATGTTATTTTTATAATCTGGGGTATTTTGGTTTGGTTTGATTTGTTTTTTTTTCCACATGAAGAAAGCTGTAAAAACACCAAGAGCACCTCTACTGCAGGAGCTGATGGAGCTAAACTTGGGTGCTGTTGTTAGGGGTGGATGGTTAAATCTTGGCTGTGAAGGCTGAGATTTAAAAGCAAACAAGGCTCTGTTTGCTTTCTGCTTTCTGTTTGTTTCATATTTAGGCACATTAATCTAGGTAATCATACCAAAAGCTGTATTAATTCCCTTCTGCCTGTAGTACTCAGAGATGGAGTAGAACTGGACTCTCTTTCCACATTAGTGGGATCAAAGTCCTTCTTAAAGCATTGATTTATTTATGGGAGCAGAAGTGTACAAAGTACAGGAGGGATGCTTCTCTCCTGCCTACTCCTCTCTGTCCTGTGACATATAGCTATAAAACACATAGACTCCCAGCTCCATGTCTCCAGCTATCCATACAGCTTTTTTTAATGGATGTGGAGTTTGACTCCATTCTGTTGATGGGAAGAACCAGTTCAGGGAGGGGAAGACTCCATCCAACCTTTCTCTGGCAAAGCTCATTGTGCCTTGGGGCATTTCACCTCTGTGGGTGGCTGAAGCACTTTTTTCTGCTCTTAGTGGGATAAATACCTGTGCAGGTATCTTTAGTCACAGGGAGCTCCACAAGCAGACACTTGAGAGGGTGTTGAGAATGAGAGAAGGGGATTTTGTGTCACCAAGATAGGCTCAGTTTTTCTATCACTGTTGTTCTCTGCATGCTGGCTTCCTCCCTGCACAGGCTGCAGTTGGCTCTGCAGCCAGAACATCCAGAAAGTTTAGTGTATTCATGTTCTTGATAAGATTTATTGGGAAAATAAGGCATGCAATAGGAGAAGTTGTGAGCAATGTAATATATGTGTGTGTGTGTGTATATATATATATATATGTTAAAAAAAATACTGCCTGTAATGTTATTCATGCTTAAAAATTCGTGGAAAAAATATATGTAGAGAGCATTATATTTTTTAATGTTTGAAACTTCATCAGAGCAAAGTAAACAAGTAGCCCACAGCAGGTTTTGGAGGTACATACAGTGTCATTGAAAAGAGAGAACCAGTGTGTTGATATAAAACCTGTGTTGGTTTAAAGGTCAGAATACATGGAATAAACTGTGTCAGCAACAACAAATTGACCAAAGAGCTGAATTATATTTAAATTTGGAGTCTTGTCTAGTCTTAGTTCTACATTAATTAATTTTGTAGCAAGACTTTTTCATCAGATGTTGTGCATATGCTGTCTGTGTTTGTCTAAAATAAAATGTAATGAAACAGCTAATAAACCCACAGTTTATTTGTTTCCTTTGAGAAGTTCTTAACGTGCAACTACTGTTCTTTATGTTCTCTATATGCTTTTTCCCTTTCAGAGAGTACCTTTTTGAAGGGCTCTGTTACTAAACATTTTCTCTCCTCTTGCTTCTAATTTACAAAAATAAAGTGCTTATGTTTGTGCAGGTAGTCAGGCCAGCAAGGATGGGGAAAGCTCCCAAACCCTTCTCCTACCGCTCTGGTATTGCACAAGGGCCCCTTAGAACTCCAGACCATGGGGGCTGGAAAGCAGAACGATAAAAAAGGGAACTAGGAGAAGGCACAGCTTTGTCTGTTGTCTCTTACACTTGACCCTTGGAGGTATTCAAGAGAAGGGAACAAATTGTGACTCTGCACACATAAATTCTGGGTTGGTTTTGTTTTGTTTTTTTTCAGGACTTGATGAAGTTAGAGGGGAAAACAGAACAAACCCAAACCAGTCTAGCAAGAACTGGGCAGTTAATACTGGCACCAGTGCATTGGTTGAAATAGGTCAAAATCATTAATAGCTGCTCATCTCTACATGACCTCAGTGCACCATCTTCCAGTTCTTTGGCACTCATCCTGATCCCCGGGGAGCAGTTGTCTTTTTCCATTAATAGCTATATTAAACTTTATTTTTGCTGTCCAGGTCTTTGACTTCCTCTAACACCAAGGACTGGTGTAAACTACCTGTTAGAAGATGCTGAGGAGCAGTGCAGGCGTCAGTGCCTATAAAAAGACCTGGAGCGTGTGCCTAAATACCACGCTCTGTTTGTTTTCTAGAACAGTGATGGCATTTAGCATTTTGATTATAGAAAATTTTTTTCTTTTTTTTTTCCTGAACACAGGACCTTGGTGATGGTTATCTTAGTAAAACACACTTCCAAGTAAGAAATAGACACATCCCACCAGATCTCAAGGAGAAAACCAATGATAATATTGAACAAACGTTACTTGCGCATGTTGAAGTAAGTACAGATTTTAAACTTCTGTGTTTATAAAATAAATAATGAAATTAAAAAATACTATGCTAGTAAGTCCTTCCAAAAAGACTCCAGATCTTAAGTTACAGTGTCTTTTAATTAGTTTTCATACAGTTATAGCAATACTAATTAATGCAACTAATTCAGGTGTTTTTGTGTGTGTAGAAAAAGCTTAAGCATGAAGATTTAGTTGTCTTAGAGGCAAAAATTAAAAGGATAAGGAAAATAAAATTCATTTAAAGTGCTATTTACTGCATATATATTGTGTATAAAACTTTTATATTCAGTGTATAGTTGTCTACTGTGGGACTAACTTTATATATTGAGCAATTGTTTGAAACTGGTGGCAGGAAATAAAACAGATTTGGTGTTCTTGAAGGAGACTAAACTTCTTTCTTCCAGAAAAATTAAAACTGTTCATTAAACTCTGGTCGTACTGATCTGAATAATTATTTGCTTGTTTGATTCTACATTAAACCTCCAGGTTATTGACTAATCAGGATATAAATAATAGAAACTCCCTCCTTTGTTATGGTTTGTTACCATTAATATGAAAATAAATCTTGGATTATAATTGACTGAAAACAATGTGTTCTATATATTGCAAACTGTTGAATAGATGGATGTGTTGTACTTTCCAGTTACCTTTTTCTGCAGTTCCTTTTCTCTTTTCATCAACACTCTGATTTCTTTTTTTTTTCCCTCCAGAGACTCTAGTACATTTCAGGGATTTCTGGTCTGAAATGAGTATTCTTTTGGCTTGGTTTGTGAAGGAAATGGCACTTAAAACAATCATTCTCTCTGTTAGTCTTGATGTAGTTGTTTCTGCTGATTTTTGGGCTCACTCACAGGTTTCCGCTGTACTATAAAGAGAGGTAGATATCTAAGTCATTTGACAGATTTTTAAGTTTTCCTTTAATTTAAATTGTAATATTTCTTAAAAAGAAGGCTGATATCAATGCTTCAGGGGTTGTTGCTTAATTGTCACTAACGACAGTATTTGTACACTTCAGTCCTGACTTGTAAGAACAGATTACTCTTTGTCTTCAAAATTGCTTTTGATGATTGTGACTTATTTTTTTAATAATGAATCAGGTCTTCATTACAGAGTTCATTTTAAAAGAACATACTGTAAAAAGCTATTGAGTCCTGCTTCTGGAAAAGAAGGTGTCAGCTATAGAAAATGTCATAACACAAAAAAGACTTCAAAGCCTGTTAAATACTGAAATGGAGTCTTAAATATACTGAAATATAATAATAAATGACATACTGAAATAAGATTCCAGGCCCAGCTCTCTGTGATTTATCAAGATCTTGATATTAATAATTACCTCTTGAAATATTTTGAAAGATTTCTTTGTTTTGAACCATAGTAACCTGTGGGGTGGAAGGGCCCTCTTTGAGAATGAGCCTTTGTACCTGTCATGTAGCAGCTCTAAAGATGAAGAGTGAAGCAAGAGAAAGGCCTTAAAAAATTCTGAAGGTTGTAAGACTATAAGAAAAAAAATTGGTTACTTCTCCAAAATATTCACTGTCATATTCTTCACTGAGCTGAGGGGTAATCAGACTGTTAAAGTTACTTAATCTATCAAATGGGAAAATCACACCAATAAGTTGGAAAATGAAATTTGTTATGTATACATAAAGTAAAACTGTGTGTTTAACACTAAGAAGAAAGATGGAAATGGTGACTGAAGAGGGGATAAATAGTTTGCTCAAGCACAGTCCTTCCTGTGTAAGATGCATGTTCTTTTTCACAGCTCTTGAATGCTTGAGTCCTGTTCCGCTATAATAACGTTCTGTTATTTAAATAGGGTATTTTTGCTTTTTAATGCACGTTGCATCCATGAATCCATGGTGTTATGGAATTACTGCAATTTGTTTGATTAAGTTATTGAAATGATTGTTCTGATGAATAGCAAAAGTAGTGGTCATGGTAGAAGTTGGAAAAGTTTCCTCTAGTTATGTGCATTCAATATTTAGCTTTTTCTTTTTTTCCTCAGAAAATTCATGCATTTTATTGTTTTATATTTGAAGCCTAAAGAGGATCTAGATAAGAATTTTAATTTGTTTTGGAAAAAGCATGGCCATTTTCTGATATTTGTGTGTTTCATAATTTTTAGTTCTAGAATTACTGTTATGATCCTGATTTTTCTATATTGTAGCTCTGTTATTTTTGTCTTAATGGAATACTTCCATCTGTCTAATCTGATCTCCTCCAAGGTCTGGTAGGAGATATGATAGAAGTTTTGGGTAGCATAATTAGCTAGGAACAGTAAGAAAGGAAAACAAGCAAATGAAGACTGGAGTAATCAATATCCATCGTTAGGAACAATCAGTGTTGAAAAAATCCGAGGAAAAAATGTATTGTGGTATATGACATAGAGGCCACAAGATTTTCCTCTCCTGATCCTGGGAATCCAGTTTAGAGGTTCCCAATAGAATGTTAGTTTTGACAGATAAGGGGAAAATCAGAGGACAGATTTTTGAAGTTGGGTGGAATTTTGGAAAAGTTATCCACGGTAAGGATTTAACTCCTGTGTAAATAATTGAACCCAAGACACCTCAGGGGAGAGGTGGTGTAGAATAAATCATTGAGTGTATCCTGTCGTAGTGAGGAGTACAATTAATACGTTGAAACTGCAGAATGGCAAAATTATTATTGTTCTGTTCATTTTTCATCTGTGAAGAGATACTGAAACCTAATGATACAATACAGAAAATACACAGAACAGCTGAAGTAGCTTTATTTGAATAGAAATTCCATTATGAGTTATCGCAGGATCAAAAATGTGCTGATCTTTTGGGATCTACAGGAAACCTGATCAAATTATTTGAAAAGTTTATTTCAACTCATTGATCAGTATGGACAGTTAATGTTTCCAAGTTTCCATTTCATTGTCTGGTATCTAAAGATCTAGAGACCTCCTGGTGAAGGAGTGATGAATAACTCTGTGTTTTCCACAGAGCAGTCTGTATTGTGTACTTGGTTCCATTGACACAAGTTGTGTTTTCATTTGAAAACCAAGAATAAAATCCTATGTGGGTTCCTTTCTGCTTATTTTAGATATCTGCAATATAGAGCTTGTCACTTAAAACTTTGTTTCAGGCTGAGGAAGTAAAAAAGCATTTTTGGGTATAAATCAGTCGACGTATTTTAGGTGTCTTCTCTTGGAGGAGATGAGTGTCTGTTTTCCTTTGGGGATGATCAAGGGGAGCTGGGTGGTTAACCAGAGTGTAAATTCCTGCATTTTGTTGTGTGAGCCTCATACAACAAAATATGGATCTGACCTCAGTGAAAGCAGTGTTAAAATTTGCTGCTGACTTCACTGAGGCTGAGATTTCAGTTTGATGCTGAAGCTTATACTTATTTGCGGATTGTATTTTGTGAAGTAGCAGCTCAAAAACAGTTTAAGGAAGTTTGTCGTTTGATACTTGGCAGTCACTGAGCTGTCAAGCTGGTTATCTAACCAGGTGCCTGGGGATCCTGTCTTAGACAGACCCTTCCTTTCCATTTCCTTTCCATCTTCCTAGAAAAGAACTGAGACTGTTCTTCTGGAACACCATTCCCTGTTTCTTTGTGGGTTTAGTTATATCAGGATATTCATTTTAACATCCCAGTTTGTAAACAGAAATTATTAATGATATGTGACTGATAATAAACAAACTTTAGACTAAGTTGTTGGATGTGCTTCTGACCAGTAAGCTCAGATTCAGTCCCTTGAATATGAGCTGAAGAGACATAAACCTTTTAGAGTCTCTTCCAATAGGATAAAAATAGCCTGAGATGCAAAGTGAGGGACAGACACAAAGACACAGTGCCATTTGAAGATTTTTAAGTTGCCATTTTGTCCTGGTTACATTTTTATTGAATCAGTTGTTGTCTTTCTGAGCTGTCCTGACTTTGTGCCAGAGGAGTGTCATCTGTACTTTTCCACAGGCAGCATAAATCTTGTGTAACCACCATACACAACCATCTTCACTATGTATTCTTTTCTTGATCCATAGTAAATCTGTCCTGCCAGGGGATCTATCAGTGAACAGGGAATTGTGTCATCTGTTCTATAGCAAGGACAGAACAGTTACATATACTATTGTGTGAGTTGCTGAAAAGGTGAAAAATAATATGCAAAATTCAAAATGAGGATAGTCCTCCTGCCTCAGAGAACTTATGTTCTTAAAGAGTAAATTGGGAAAATCTGGATTCACTTTATGCATTCTTTTTGTTTGTTATTCAAATAGCCCAAGGGAAGCAATAACTTGGAGTAATAATTCTCAGTGTGTGGTTTGTCTCAGCTCTTCTGGGTATTGCAGAAGAAGTGAGTCAGCATGGAACCATTCCTGGAGCTGGAGCCATTGCCACTTTATAGAGGAGTGGGCAGGTTGGTAATGTTGAAGGTCTGTTGATACCCGGTGTTGCCTTTGGAACAGGAGTGCTGAACCCCAACAAACACATTGATAAAGTTATGTATTTGCTAAACTTGGGCTCCGCCTTTGCTGGAAGATGTTCATTAGTGTTAGCGAAGATCTGCTTGATGGGGGATGTGGGAACAAGTCTGACATCTTCCTTAAGCTTCATAGTATCATGGTTTGCTGTTCAGCTGTGCTTTTCAGTTTGTAACAACTAGAAAATTCAAATTCTTAGCAATTATTAATAATTTTTTTCTCTAAACAAGTTCAGTATTTTTAGAATTAAGAACAACTCCCTTTTTTTTTTTTGTGCAAAAGTAAATAAGATGAATTCAGTGTAAACATTTGCAAAACCTCGGTATTTGTTGGATGGTTAAAACATGTGAAGTGATAGCCCAGCAAACAGTGCTTAAGGAGAAAAATGTAAATACATTTAATAGAATCCAGCACTCGCTGCAGGACATAATGAAAGGACCTTAGTAAAGAGGGGGAAAATCAAGTATTACATACTCACCTAAAACATCAGTTTGTAGTGAATGACCCAAACTTAAGAGCAATGGAGTTGTACCAGAAAC